AATCCCTACACACACCACACTGAGTCATCTCTCTCTCTCTCTCTCTCTCTCTCTCTCTCTCTCTCTCTCTCTCTCTCTCTCTCTCTCTCTCTCTCCCCATCCATCCATCCACACCTCTCGCTGTGTGCGTCTGTGTGCAACCGCACATGCGAGAGCACACGCTCGCCCTTATTCACATTGGAAAAACAAATGTGGCACTAAGCCTTAATGCAACTTGAGTAAGCTAAGAAAAACGGAATGCACTCTCTATATTGTCCCCAGATAAGGGAGCACGAAGCGAGGGAAGGAGGGCCGAGGAAGGTAACACCACCGGAGGAAGGAGGGAGAAGGCAAGGGAGGGAGGGAGGAAGGAGAACGCGAGGAAGAAGGGAGGGCCGATGGGGCAGGGGTGATGGAGGGAGGAGAGCGGGTTGAGGCAGGAATGGACGGGCCGAGGGAGGGAGGAGAGAGGGTCGAGGTAGGAATGGAGGCGGGATGGTGATGGTGCCTCTCTCTCTCTCTCTCTCTCTCTCTCTCTCTCTCTCTCTCTCTCTCTAGAGGTAGAGCACTGATCATGCACGTAGAGCACGTAGAGCACCGAAATACAAAAGCACGGATGCACAATGTAGAGCACTCATCATGCACGTAGACCACCAAAATACAAAAGCACGGATCCACAACGTAGAGCACTGATCATGCACGTCGAGCAGCAAAATGCAAAAGCATGGATCCACGATGCAGAGCACTGATCATGCACGTAGAGCACGTAAAGCACCAAAATGCAAAAGCACGGATCCACGATGTAGAGCACTGATCATGCACGTAGAGCACCAAAATACAAAAGCACGGATCCACGATGTAGAGCACTGATCATGCGCGTAGAGCAAGTGGAGCACCAAAATACAAAAGAACGGATCCACAATGTAGAGCACTGATCATGCACATAGAGCACACACGCACGTAGCACTGACGGCCGAGCACGAATCCATGCTGCAGCGAAGAGAGAGAGCTATGGTGAAGGGAGGAGGCCAGAGAGCGAGAGAGAGAGCACAGTTCAACCGAGTTCACGTCAAGCACCGAACACCAAAGGAGAGCACAGTCAAAGAGAGAGAGAGAGAGAGAGAGAGAGAGAGAGAGAGAGAGAGAGAGAGAGAGAGAGAGAGAGAGAGAGAG